AAAACACTCAGCTGTAAAACGCTGGGTTGGAAAGGCTCAAACCCCTGGTGAAATGCTCACAAGAGCAAATATTCAGCTCCCTGTGGCTGGGAAATTTTTTATTAACTGTTTTTAAAGGCAGCAGACTTAAGCGGCAGTGACAGATTGCCAGGTAGAGCAACTGTTTACGGTCTGGGGCCTTGGGCTAAGCGGGGACACTTTGAAATATTGGGGAGGGAAAAGAAGAAGGGAAAAAAAAACAACCCACCTTTCCTGGGGGCAGTCAAGGGTGGGTGGCATGAGAGTACTGCAGCAGCTGGAGGCCAGAAAACCTGTCTGTGAAAGCAAATTAAGTGTCCTTTGTCCATGTGTTTTTGGTTTGGGGTTTTTGTTTGTTTGTTTTTTTCCAGCTGGGGATAACGCAAAAACTAGACGCTACATACGGCTGGACACAAATGCCGGGACTCACACGGGAGCTGTGTGTCACCCAGGATCCAACCCATTTGGTGATCCAGGGAGGAACTGCACATGATGCAAGGTGCCGAGGTGTGGACACGACTGAGGCCAGAGGGAAAAAACACGCTCAAATTCAGCTCCTTGATAACAGGTTATCAGGGTCCAGCAGACACTCACTTATCCAGCCTATTGATACGGGCTCAACCAGGACAGCCCTGCGGGGAGTATAAGTGTGATCGTGCAGATGTCTAGCTCATTTTGTGAGCTTCCGCGGGAGAAATTCCCGAACAAAAACAAATTACTGAAAGTCCCTCCCTGGGATAACTGGACAAGCAGCACAAAGTGCCCAAAAACTGGGACCCGACCCACAGCTTCCAGCTATTGATCAGCCCTGGCCCGCAACCACTGCCCACAGGTGAGACGCTGGAGCTAGACTGCAATCGTGTTTTGCCAATGGTAAACATGGCTTGGTCAAAATCCAGGTGTTTGAGGGAAACCTGTACATTTCAGTGACATTTCATTTGAAAGAAAGAATAATTACTGGAGTGGAGCCACCCCATAAAGCCACGTGTTCCGCTTCGGCCTCCTTGGAGCAGGATGTTTCAATTTTTGATTTGAAAGGGCTTTTTCATTGCTATGCATGCAAATGTGTGCATATATGCCCAACTCTAGAAATATATTACGGTGGGTTCTTTTAGCATTGGTTTGAAACAAAATACTTTGGGCTGGCCCAAAGTAAGATCTTACTTTTTCATAGGTGATTTCCAAAGTCTAATTTCTTTCTTTTTTATTCTTGCTTTTTTTTTTCTTTTTGTGTGTGTGTCTGTACATGGGGTCAAAATAGCTAAATATCCTAGGGAAAGTGAAAAATCCTGTTCCTCCAGAGCCCTCTTACACACACACAGTATTGATCTAGACCACTCTACCAGGTGCAGGGGGCACAGAAATAGGCCTTTTATTTAGCATCCTCTTCAGTTTTCAGCATCCCAACCAAAAAAACAAACATTACATCCAAGGCTACATGTTCTCATTTCAGTTTTCAGTTCACATTTAAAAAGACTTCAACCAATTTAATGGCAAATTACAGAAAGAGCTGGATTCTAGTCTATATGGATTTTTAAGCGTCCACAGGAATGTGTATTTTTTTTAACAATTTTATTTAAAGTTTCATAATAAATACTTCTGTGGTTTCCACAGCTTGGGACACAGAAATCAAACAGCTCTGCATAGGAGAGTTTACATTTTTCACCTCTGGTTTAAAATAGGTGATTTAAAGTTAGCAGGCTGGATAATTTCTGGAGATTACAGGAGAGCTGCCTTTTTTTTTTTTTTTTTATGGAGTGACGTTGTTTCCAATATTTGCCTCTTTTTGGAGCCTTGCAGCTGCTCAGGCTGCCTCAGCCTCCTGCTGGCCACCTACCCCCTCATTCCTAGGACGGTTTTGAGATGTTTCACATCACAACTTTACCGATATCCATCACAGTTTCACAAACTGGCCCCTGGAACCAAATCTAAGCCAGAAAGCACATTCTGGATGACAAACTTGACAGGTTGGCTCACCCCAGAAAACAATATTGGGGAAAAAACTGTGTAAAAGCCAGAATGATTCAGTGCCCGTCTGTCCTCAGTCTCCCCCCACCCCTGGCCAATTTGAAATGACACTGAGAAATAGACCTCAGCCTGTTGAGAACCCAGGTTAAAACCTCCCCCAAACAAAACACAGCATCTGGACAAGATTTCGATTTGAACAAATGCAGCATTTTTGGTTGCTATTTTGAAAGGGGCTGATATTTGGGCAGGGAACTGGAAACATTTTCATTTCAGGGTGACATCAAATTAATTCTCCTTTCTATCTTTCAGCTCAGCCTATTACCTGTCCGGCCCTGCTGGCTGGCTGTGACCAGGACAGCCCACAATTCACCCCAGCTGCTCTCCAAGTCAGGAGTCATGCATGGGCTAAGGTAAGTAGGGGATAATAAAGGGAGAAAATCAAATCCAGTGTGGTGAACACCCAACCATAACCCTATCAATTGTCCACAAATAAGGCTGGAGCATTTCCATGCTTCGGCTGTTGCGTATTTACCCTCTGCCCCCCTGTTTCTCCTGGCTGGGCTCAGGCCGCCAGGCTCAAAGGGATATTTCTTTTCAAGAAAGAGACTTGGCTCATGCGCCTAGACCAGCACACATCTCTGCCTCTTCCACCTTGTTTATCCCAAGGGGAAGGTCAGGGAATGAATTAGCATTTGGAGAAACTGGGCCAGGGGGGCACAGAGCCTCACAGGTCTCTGTGTGTCCCTGGGAGAGGAGCACAGATGATGCCGTCTGCAAAGCAAAGACGGTTCCCATCAGTTAATGGAGGTCCACGCTACTCCCTTTGCACAGATGAGTTTCTTAAAATAGCACAAGAGGAATGAGCTGAAACGCAGCCCCTCCCACCGTGACAGCACGATCCCAGAGCTCAGAGACACACGTGGTCATGGGGTGCAGGCTGTGCACGGACACCTCCCCACATGTCCTGCGCCCTGTGGCATGGGCACAGGGGGCAGTGGGGTGGCTGTTTTTGCCCCTTCCCCTCACATTTGCCCCCAGCTGTGTTAGCCCCTGTTTGCACTATCATGGAATTTCCAGCACTGCTGCAGGAAGGGAAGAAAATAGGGGACAGGTGGAGACAGAGGTTGATACTATCAATTGCCAACAGGGCTGGGGTGAACCACTTAGTTAATTTGCAGTGTCAAAAACTGTCTGGAAAGAAGAAAACAACCCCCAAACTGACAATGTACAGAACTAAAAAAAACAAATCCTTGCATGCCTAGCAGACAGAGAGAGAGAGAGGGCAGGGAGGCAGGGGGAGGGGAAGGAGGGCTTCAAATTAGATCAAAATCTAACGAGCTAATGCTAGCGATGGGAGCTCTCCAGAAGTTAAAGCTGTTGAACTGCAGAAGACTGTCCTCTTCTTCGGAGCTGTCCTGGCTGTCCTGTTTCCGCTCCCCGGTGAACTTGCCCAGCCCTCCCTTGGGTTTGTAGAGGGTCACGTCGCTGAGCCCCAGCCCCTCCAGCTCCGCCACGTCCAGCCGTGGGATTGGCATCCTCCAGTAGATGAAGGAGTCGTACTGGCTGCTGATGGTGTCCAGCATTTTCAGGCTGTGAAGGGGAAGGGGGCGAGGGGAGAGAATAAGAAACACTCAGGCCTTACGATGGGATTTGACCAAGTCCCACAGGACTCCCCCAAAATATTGATGGGGCAGATGAGTGTGGTTTCATGGCTGAGGGGAGATTTGGTTCTGGGCTTGGACTAAATGGAGATTTGAGCAATCTGCCACTGATCCTGTTTGGGTCTTGGTCACAGCCCTTCATTGAGCTTTACTATGGAGGTGCATACAGGAGGGCTTGTCATTTTGTGCCTCAGTTTCCCCATCTGCACAAAGGGAAGCCTCTCAGTGGACTTGGAAATGGAGGGCTAGCCCCTTCCCAACCAAAGCTCCTGCCTTGAATACAGGACACCGTGCTGCTTGCGGAGTGCAAAGGAGGGTTTCAGCAAGGATCAAAGAAGGGCTGTCACTGATGGATTGATCGTGCTGCAGCACACGAGTGGGGCGGACAGAAAATGGGAACAAAATGAACCATTTCTGTGACAAACCATGCAAGAGGGTCCTGCCCTTTCCCCAAGCTGCAGCCGCCATGGGTCAGCCCGTGCCCATGCCTGCTTAGCGTGCGCAATGCCCGCAACCGCCCCCCTCTGCGCCCCAGGGGAGAGTGACTGAATCGTCTAGAAGAGCCTGGAAGAAACCTTGCTCGGCGTTTCCACCCAACCCCACCCACCCTGCCGGCCACTGGGTCGTCCAGCACCACCATGCCGCAGAGTGCCTCCCGCAACCCCACCCCGATTGCGGAGAATTGGGTAACAGCGGGAGGAGATTTGTTCAGCTTTGCCTCCGGCGCGGCTGCTTCTCCGGAGCTGAGTCACGGCAGTGCTGACTAGCTTTTCCCTGGCAGAATTGTCATTCACCTCCTCGCAGTTGGCAACAGAGACCGTTTCATGGAGCCCAGCCAGTGGAAAGAAATAAACCCAACTAACCCTAAATATCTTCCTTTTCCCGTTGGTTTCCCCTTTTTAAGTGCTGGGAATCTGAATCCCAAGGGATGATTTAGGCATCCCTTGAATCGAGCCCTCCCTCGCTCCCCCGTCCATGCAGCAAGGGGTGACGAGCGTCTAAATTTAAGATTCCCAAAGTGACACCAAGGCTATGAAAGGCTCCTGTGTCATCCCCTGGGTAAAATGAGCTACTGTGTGTTTTTAAATAGCCTCCTCCTCAGGGGTATATTTCCGGGTATCTTTTGGCACAATGACAGATTCAAAAGTAACAGATCATTTGCCCCGCTGCTCCCTTTGGTAGGATCTCGGACAATGGATTTTACAGTTTCAAAGGGGAAAAGGGAGTCTAAAGACAAGACATAAAAATTAAAGATGGATTTGGAAAAGGCAATTGATGCATGAGAGAGTATCCTACGTTGCGTGTGGCCCCCAGAGAAAGCAGCTTGCCTTGGGTGCTGCACAGTGCAGTTGGGGTGAAAAAGAGACCTTTATTCACCTAATCTCTGCCAGCCCTCGCTCACTGCTGTGAACTCTCCCCTTTCTCCCCCGCCTCAAAAATCCAGACTTGCCAATCCCCCACCCCATCCTTCCAGGGCAAAATCTTTTTTTTTTTTTTTTTGTAAAAAGCATCCCATTGCTTTTCTTCCCCCGGCATCCTCCCAGCCCCTTACCTGTCCGAAGAACTAGGGGCTCGGAGGATGGAGTGGTTCTTTGTGCTCACCGGCGCCACGGCTCGGCTTTTGTCTGCTGGCGTTGCCGGTCTGCAATGCAGCCCCTCGAAGCGGGCTGGCGAACTCCCCTTCGTGGGGGGGGGGGGGCGGGGGGGCGGAGCCCCTGCTCCCGCACGCGCCGTCACCAGTTCTGCGCAAGACGGGAAGGGGGAGAAGGTTTTCCCAGCGTTTTGGAGCGGTGGGATGAAAATGTTCTGGCAGGCCCCAAAGCGAGCTGCTGAGATAGGGCTGCGATGCAGCCTTGCTGCTGGTGTAAATGCATTAAAAATATACAGCGGCGGGGTTAGTCACTTGTCACCGTTCCCACTTTGCTCGTGTAACCTTCAGCGCAGGATCCGAGGGGAACGACCCATTTTCAGCTGGCAAAGGCTCCTCTTTAACTGCAGGCAGAGAAGTGGGGTGCCCTGGTACCCCTGAACCACGTAGGAAGGCACCTTGCAGGTAAAGCACCGTCTCGGGGCTTCGGATATTTGGTCTCTGGCCCAGTCATGGGGTTT